AAGACAGGAAACCATAAAAATCCTACAAGACTCCATAGGCAGCAAAATAGAAGACATATGTTGTAGCAATATCTTTATAGACACAGCTCCTAGGGCAATGGAGACTAAGGAGAAAATAAACAAATGGGATTACATCAAAATGAAAAGCTTCTGCACAGCAAAAGAAACCATCAACAAAACAACAAGAAAGCCACTGCATGGGAGAACATATTTGCCAATAATATTTCAGATAAGGGTTTAATTTCCAAAATTTACAGGGAACTCATACAACTTAACAAAAGGAAGATAAACGATCCAACCAAAAAGTGGGCTAAGGACCTAAATAGACACTTTTTGAAAGAGGACATACAAAAGGTTGAGAGATATATGAAAACATGCTCAAAGTAACTAATCATACAAGAGATGCAAATCAAAACAACCATGAGATACCATCTCATACCTGTCAGAATGGCTATCATCAACAAATCAACAAACAAGTGCTAGCAAGGATATGGAGAAAAAGGAACTCTTGTGCACTGCTGGTGGGAATGCAGACTGGTGCAGCCACTCTGGAAAACAGTATGGAGTTTCCTCAAAAAGTTAAAAATGGAACTCCTGTCTGACCCAGTAATGCCACTTCTAGGACTATATCCCAAAAAACCAGAAACACCAATCAGAAAGGATATATGCACTCCTATGTTCATAGCAGCACAATTTACAATATCTAAATTTGAAAACAACCTAAGTGCCCTTCAGCAGATGAGTGGATTAAAAACTTCGGTACATCTACACAATGGAATACTACACCGCAATGGAATAAAAAAGAAAGAACTTTTACCATTTGCAACAGCATGGGTGGAGCTGGAGAGCAATATGCTAAGTGAAATAAGCCAGTCGGAGAAAGATAAATATCACATGATCTCACTCATATGTGGGATATAATAATCAACATAATTTGATGAATAAGAATAGATGCAGTGACAAATGGTGGGGGGTGGGGGGGTAGGGGTTAGAGAGCAACCAAAGGACTTGTATGCATGCATATTAGCATAACCAATGGACACAGACACTGGGGTGGTGGAGGCTTGCCCGGGATGGGAATGGCTGGGGGGAGAGGTCAAGCAGGGAAAAAGCAGACATATGTAAAATTTTGTACAAAAAATAAAAAATAAATAATAAAAAAAAAGACAACCAAGCATGAGAATATCATACATTCTGTGGATTTATTTTTTTTTACTAGAGGCCCAGTGCACCAATTTGTGCATGGGTGGGGTCCGGCCAACCCGGCCCCAATTGGGTCAGGTCAGGGCTGGGCCTGTCAGGAGGAGGAGAAGATGGGAGGTTGGCCGGCTAGCCTGCCCTGATTGGGGTCCAGTCAGGGCAGGGCTGGCTGGGGGAAGGGGCTGCGGGCAATTGGATGGAGGGCACCACCCCCAATTGGGGTTGGGGGGCCAGTTAGGGGAGGGGGTTGGTCATGGGGAGGAGCCTGGGTGGTTAGCCAGTCAGCCCTGCCCTTGATTGGGGTGGGGGGAAATCTGGGGTGGGGTCAGCTGGGGAGAGGGGCTTGGGGCCAATCTGGGTGGTGGGGGCCCCTAAGGGGTGGGGCCAGCCGGGAGAGGGGCTGCAGGAAGTTGGCCGGGATGTCCCACTTCCTGTTGAAGTGGGGTGGCAATCAGGGGTGAGGCTGGCCAGGGGCAGGGGCAGGTGCTGTGGGCTGATCAGGGTGGTGGGGGCCCATGGGGGGTGTGGCCGACGGGGGGGGGGGGCTGCAGGAGGTTGGCTGTCCATTCCTGCCCACTATTGGGGTGAGGGATGTGATCAGGGGTGGGCCAGTGGGGGGAGGGGCTGTGGGCCTATTGTGGGGGGGCTGGCTGATGAGGGGTGGGGCTGGCAGGGGTTGGGGGCTAGGGAGGGGGATTTTGGCCAGTTGCCCTGTTCTTGATCTGGGTGGTAAAGTCCGATCACGGGGAGTCCGGCAGGGAGGAGGGGCTGCGAGGTTGGCCGGCTGGCCCACACCCTGATGGGGGCGGGGGGTTCGCTGGCCACAGTGGGCATCACAGCAACCGGTCCTTATGGTTATTATGGCCATTACAGTCGTTGGCTTTACATATATAGAGATAGATTGCACCTCAAGCACAATTCTCAGACAAGCACAATTGCCTACTGAACTTCTCCGGTCCTTTGAGGTGAAGTTAGCACAAGTGTATTTTGTTTAGATTCCACTCACCCACAAGACAAGTTTGTCCTGAGTACCCTCCCTGAACATCCCTGGGGGCTCAGATTGTATCTTTAGTGATTGGGCTACAGATCACTGCCTTTAGAGTTCTGTGCTGTAGGACAGCTGCCGAGGGCAATGTTTCCTTCTGCAGCTCTGTCCGTACCTGTGGGCCCAATGCTCATGACCGATGGGCTGAGCTTCCTGGAAATAGCCTAGGGTATCATTCTTCCTGGGTGTCCATGCTGTGTTTGAAAATCATGTTGGCTCCAGGACCTAACTTGTAGTCCTACTTGCACATGTGCCATTGAATTCTTCCATTCTGTGTGCATTGGGTCTGTTAAAAAATGGACAGGCTTTGTTGTTTTTCTTGATAATACACCTGCAAAGCTCAATTTCTTTTTTAAAAACCGTCATTAGATTCTCTATATTCATGCAAGCTCTGGACTACAATTTCTTCTCCCATCAGTAATATGTGCTTTCCCAACTGGTAATTTCAAAATTAGTGGCCTGGCCTTTAAAGCATTTAAAGTTATAAAGAAAAGAAGAGAAAAGAAAAAATCTTGAGGTTGAATTGACCAGTTTCACATGGGTTTATTCCAGATAATCAATCAGTAATTTGAAAAGAATGCCTACCCCAGGGGTCCTCAAACTACAGCCCGAGGGCCACATGCAAATACAAATATTGTATTTGTTCCCGTTTTGTTTTCTTACTTCAAAATAAGATATGTGCAGTGTGCTTAGGAATTTGTTCATAGTTGTTTTTTTTAAACTATAGTCCGGCCCTCCAACGGTCTGAGAGACAGTGAACTGGCCCCCTGTTTAAAAAGTTTGAGGACCCCTGGCCTACCCCCTCCCCCAACCTTCTGAAGCAGTTTCACTCTCTAACATATCAATATTATAATGTTGACTCTCCTAATAAACCTGAGCATTCAAATTGTTTGTGTTCTTAGCACCAGAATAAAACTGCCACATTTCTATTCATTGCAAAGTCAAAGCTATCATAATCTGCTGATATGTTTTTCTGAATGCCCTGTCAAAATGTTTGCTACATCTATCAAAATATGGCAAATTTATTTGGGGCATCGGACATGAGCAGCCCTGAAATCTTTCAGACAAATGGGGTTGGATGAACAACAAATACATAAAGATTAGAATGAGCAAAGTGGAGAGCAGAGCAGGTCTTTGCTACTAAATATGATAGATTCTATTGTAAAAAAATGATTGATGCTATTGGGACAGGAATTTATCAACACAGGTAAAATCTAACTTGTTATACAAAACACAGTATAGTAGTTTTTCAGTGGTTAGCAACTACTTTTTTTTGATAGCTAAAGATTAAAATTTGTGCCAAGTGCAGGATAATATAGTTGTTAGATTTCATCATACTTTGTTAATTTCAAGGTAATATTCCAAAATATTGTGTATCTATTTCAAATTAATATGGACACTTCCAAGCACCCTTGGAGGACCTTCTGAATCCCTGAGATCATATTTTAGCAAACATAATGAAGTAGAATAGATGGAGGCTCATGCCTATCTAAGTTCCACAGCACAGAAGAGCACTTCTTCCTGCCCAGATGAGAAACTAAAAATCATTACAATGAGTATTCTCTTTATGGTGCATAGCCACAGAATTCCCAACTAATTAAGAAATAAATTATGCATTTATAATTAAAATTCTTAAGGTTTATTTTATACTAGAGGCCCAGAGGGGTCTTTCAGCCTGGCCTGTGCCCTCTTGCAATCTTGGGCCCCTCAGGGGATGTCGAACTGCCAGTTTCAGTCTAGTCCCCTCAGGCCAGGCCAAGGGACCCCACCGGTGCACGAATCCATGCACTGGGCCCCTAGTATGCATATAAGATCTTTGGTTAATCTCTTCCTGCCCTCCCCCCTCCCCACTTCCCTCTGAGATTCATCAGTCTGTTCCATGTTTCCATGCCTGTGCGTTGAGCGTCTGCCCCCGGTGGTCTGTGCACATCATAGCTACTGATCAAAGGGTTGACTAGTCGAACAGTAGAATAGTCACGTAGGCTTTATATATATAGATGTACAATTAAAAAGAAAACTTGCAATTTTGTTTTTCTTGGCCCTGCTCCAATATTTAGAAAAAAAGTGGGAGACTGGTCCCTCACTTGGGATCTCCAGACAATGAAGTAGCAAAATTAGCTTTGAAAGGGAGCTGTGTCACTCAGGGGGAGGCAGGGAGAATTTTTTCAAACTAGAAGCAGATATTTGCATTTCCAGAGCCCTACTTCCCTGGAAAGAAGAGTTATTGCTGGGAGTCACCTTAGAGACTTGGCTTTCCCCACTCATAACCATACTTTTCATTGATCTCTAAGAAGAATTTTGTCCAAGAATGAATTTTCCTTCCTGCACTGTAATGGTATTCAACAGAAGCAATTTCATACTAAATAATATAATTTGGTTGGAAGAATGGAGGGACAAACTTACTCTGGTGTTAAATCCAAGCCTGACCAATTCTTTAAAAATTCCCTGTTTTGTTGTTTGTTTTGTTTTTAAGAATAATGCTTTTATGTGTTTTTCTTTTTTATTATTTTATTTAAGTACTGTTGGTGTATAATCTTAAATTGGTTATATTAGTTTCAGGTATACAATTAGCAATGCGACATTTTATACCTTATGATGTGATCACCCCACTAAGCCTAGTAATCATCTGTCACCATGTGAACTTATTTGTAAACATTAAATATATTAGCAATTTTAAGAGAAAAAAATCTCCCTTTTCATCCTAGTCTCCTTTATGAGCAAGTCCAAGTCTCCAGTAAATGAGATGAACGCTTACCTCAAAGGCCCTCTGGATTTTGACAAAGTCGCCCACACTGAACTGGTTTTCAAGCCAAGCTGTGCTGTGGTCTTCACCTTCTGTCCTCCCTCGCCCAGGCTCTGACCCCTTGTTCAACTCAAGTGCAGCACTCTGGGAGCTCATAATGGCTTCACCTCTTTCAACAGCTTCCAACTATTTCTATACCTTTATTGTTTTTTCTTCCAAAGGTGTCTTTGAAAAAAACAACAACAACCCAACTTAGCAATAGGATCTCAAATAAACATACATTTCAAGGCTTATAATAAGGAGGCAGGATGTTTAAGCTGAGAGGTGGAGAATGAAACCCTCAACCCCACTCTTCCTGAATTCCACAGCTTATTTTCCAAGTCCACAGTCCAGTGGTTCTAAAACACCCCCTCCTTATACTTGGTTGGACCTGACTTGGTTAAAAACGGATAAAGCTTCTTCCCCCAATGTTTATAGCAACGGACCCAGAGTGCAGCTTCTAATCCTCATTTCACACGCATTAGCAAGGCAACTTCTCAAAGCCTGGTTGGCTAACCTTGCATCTATTAACATGTTGTGGTTTTAAACTCCCTTTTCTTGTCTGGAGACATTAGATGGGGCAGCTGCCAGGTCCCTGCCCCAATGTAGAGCTCCCCTCTGTAGGCCACCCTTCCCAGCAATGCCCAGGTGTTTCCTCTGTCCCTGCTGCTTTTGTATGTTTCCTGGCAACCAACAGAGAGCCAACTACAACTTTCCCTTTTCTGCTTCCCCCAACCCCCAACTAATAACTGACCTGAAAGTTCAAATATACAATGAAAATGCTGAGTTTTTTTAAAAGGAAAATTCAGCCCACTCATTTTTCGTTAAATTTTATCACTGTTTTATTTAAAGACATCTTTTATAAATATATTTTCTATGAAGCAGGTCATGTATTATGAAACAATATGATTAGATGAAGAAAAGAGTGTGACATTCAGGAATTGTATGTTTTGCACTTAGGAAATTTTTTTTTCTTATTTCATAAGAATCCTATTCCTTGTATTCTCTTTGCTTTAGTTTCTACGTATGTAAAATGAGGGTGGGTTGAAAGAATTTTCAATTCACTGAAAATATGATTAAAAAAACATAGCAAAACATAATATGATAAACCTTATGATAAAACTACTTATAGTACCATCACTGGTTCAGCTTCTATTAATGAAAAAGAGTGGGAGAGGGAGGGACATGTTGACATTTTTAAAAGTGTTTACCATGTGCCAGGCACGACAGTAAGCACTTTGTCTTCCTTACCTTGCTTAAGCTTCACAACAACCCTACCGGCAGATAAGACACAATCCCCACTTTGTAGATGAAGGGACAAAGCAAATGCCAATGGCCACAGGGTTGGTAAGGTGTGGAATACAGCGGCCTGCGTGGCTGCCTCTTCCAGAGCCTGAACTATAGATGATGCCCTCTCTGCACCTTCTTTTCATCTCTGAAAAGTTGTCACTAAACATTCTCCACGTCCTTTCCACTCTGTCATCCTATGAGCTGGTGCTCACAAGGCTAATGGTGACATGCAGTACATTTCCCGCAAGGCAGAGACGGAAGCATCCTACATACATTCCTATACCAGCTTCAGGAAAATAAATGAGATTTTATTTGTGCATTTTTAATTCATCTGTTTTTCTGCCTATCATTTATTCCAAAGATCATTTATTAAAAACCTACTCTATGTCAAGTCCTAAATCGGACCTGAGACCTGCCCAGAGGGGTTTATAGCTTTTTAGGGATGATTAACTGTGAAGTTCATCTTTCAGGCTAATCCCAACCACTTTTTATTTAAAGTGTTGTATTGAGAAGGATTTTGAAAACATATCTAGGCTCACAGGGAAGAATGGCGTTATAGATTATAAATGTGTATCACGGGCACAGAAAGGCAAAAGGGACATATCTACCACAAAGTTCCCTGTTTTGGTTTAGCCCTTCATGTAAGTTAGGAAACCACTTTTAAGCCCTAATATTATAAACTCCCCTAAGCAATCTCACATTAGGACAAAATTTGTCTTACACCATCCTAACTTGTAAGTTAATAATAGTTTAGATCAGCTGATTATGTCCCATAACTGTTTGCAAAATGTTTTATCGTAGCATTCTGGAGAGGTGGGCTTTGCTCAGTAAGAGACACTAATGAGGGAAGCTGCAGGAGAAGTAGGTCTTCCACTGGTTGATGCTGCAAAATTCTCTAATTATTCTTTTTTTAAAATATTTTTATTGATTTTTAGAGAGAGAATAAGGTAGAAGGAGAGAGAAACATTGATGTGAGAGTGAAACATTGATTGACTAGTTCCTACATGTCTCAGTAGCCCGCAACCTGGGTATGTGCCTTGACTGGGAATCTAACTAGTAACCTTTCAATGCATGGGATGACACCCAACCAACTGAACTATTATTTTAAGACAGTCAAACTGCCTGAGCTACTTAGCCTTCATAAAGATGCAACTCTAAATGTTGTCATTAGTCAAAACAGGAAAATAGAATGAGCAGCTAACAAATTACTGTAGAAGTTAATCAATGGACACCATTTTCTTTTCTTTTTTTTTTATTGCTTAAAGTATTACAAAGAGTATTACATATGTCTCCTTTTTTTTCCCCCCGCCCTTGACAATCCCCTGGCCTCCCCTACTTCCCAGTGTCTTATGTCCATTGGTTATGCTTATATGCATGCATACAAGTCCTTTGGTTGATCTCTTACCCACCCCCCTCCTGCCCTCCCACCCTCCCCGGCCTTCCTGCTGTAGTTTGACAGTCTGACACCGTTTTCTTTCTGTAAAATCATGGCATCAGAAAATAGTTCTTGATTGTAAAGCCATAAATAACTTTAAACTACTTTGTAACTGTGTGGTTCATTTTCAGGTTAAATGCCCACAACCCTGTAAAATCCATAACTAGCCTCTTGGCTCTGCTGAAATGTATCTTCCTGCTTGTCATAAAGCAAGTATGATTTTGTGAATATCTGCAGGTGCCCACTCCAATGCTAGGCTCTTTGGGGAATGGTGTAGTGATGGAGACAATCTATACTCTCAAGGAGTGGACACTTCAGTTGGAAAGAACACTAACAAACAAACCAACACTTGCTCCCATCTCTTTTAGGGACAGGCCAACACTCTCTAGCACACTGGAGAGCTAAGCACCCAAGAAAACAGAGCAAACTGACCCATCCACTCTCCTTTGCTTCCTTTGGAACCTTAGCACTGACGCACTCTCCCCATTGAATAGACACTCCCACATGTGTCCTCATCACAACTCCCCCCTCTGCCCCCAAAGCCCTGCTCTCTTTTTCCTCAGTAATTTATACTCATTGACATAAGTGTGGGCCTCGTCTTTCCTTTATCACAGTGGTTCTCAACCTTGGCTGCACATTAGAATCACCTGGGAATCATTTTAAAATCCTGATTTCTGGGCCTCATCCTCTGGAAATTCCGTTTCTTTGTTACTAATGTTGTGGCCCCACCCCATAACAAAGAAACAGACTTTCCGGAGGTTGAGGCCCAGAAATCAGGAGTTTAAAAAGATTCCCAGGTGATTCTAATGTGCAGCCAAGGTTGAGAACCACTGCTTTATTAGGTTAGTGTATTCTTACTAATATTCTTCATCTGTGCCTAGAATTCTCCCAAACACCTCCTCACTTTAACTGAAACCAGCTTCCTCGTATCAACCCCATTTCCCACCGAACCATCTCAAGTTGAGGCTGCTTCTCATCCCAGTCCATGTCCCTACAGACCAGTAGAAGGGTGACTTCCCATGGTCTCCTTTTTTCTGGAACATTAACCTTCCCAACATGGGCCAGTGGCCAAACCTCCTCTCCCCAGGCTCTTGTTGTTGTTGTTAATCCTCACTTGATTTGTAGAGATGCCAGGTCCCTTGAAACAGCAAGCATGGACCGGATGGCGCCCGAACAGGGACCCCTAGGTAAGCCCCACTCTCAGGATGGATAGGACTCCACCGTAGGAAGAAGGTGGATAGTCTTCGCCGACTCCGTCCACGCCTTTGGGGACCCCTGGACCCGCTGGGGTTGGACCCCGGCATATGGCGCCCGAACAGGGACCCCTAGGTAAGCGCCCCCCTCTCGGGATGGATAGGACTCCACCGTAGGAAGAGGGTGGATAGTCTTCGCCGACTCCGTCCACACCTTTGGGAACCCCTGGAACAGGATTCCCCTAGGTAAGCCCCCCCCCCATTGAAAACCCCCACACTCGGGACGGATAGGACTCCACCAGGGTACTGCAAACCCCCCTATGAGGATAAGTAGGGTAAGAAGGTGGATAGTACAGAACGTAGATTGAGAAGAAGTGCCATACTGAGTCTAAAGAAAGAAGACTCCGTATTGATCTTTTAACACATATGCTTGCTAGCAGAGGAGTTAAGGTTACTCCCAGTCAGACAGAACGTTTTATACAAGAAGTATGTCCATGCTTTTCTGAGGAAGGAAAGGTAAATGTAAAGGCATGGGAGGAGGTAGGCCCAAGGAGCCTTATCCTTAACCCCACTGCAGCCTTTCCACCCTGGGAAAGTGCAGGATTGGCAAGCTCTCCCTGGGGTGATAGATCAGGACTCAGGTAATAGCGGAAAGTGCCAATCCTACTCTTAAAATGGATACAAGAGAGCACTTGGGGTTTTTTCTTTTTAATGCCCGCTTTTAAAAAATAAAAAAGGGGGAATTTGCCGGGAGCCGGTCCATGCTTGCTGTTTCAAGGGACCTGGCATATATGGCATACTGTTCTTAATATGTTTGCTCACCTTCTTGGCACTATGTGTTTTAACCAAGGTCTCTGAGAAAGGTTGTTTCCCCAGGTAAGGATTTTCCCCTGAAGTTAGGGAGGGAATAAAACCTCTTAACTAGTGCCAGGTGGGTAATTAATCACTTTAACTACGAACAATCATGCTTAAGCTACATAATCTTACTCCCTGGAATGGAGATAAGAAACGCCCTAACCTTTGTAATAGAGATTGATAGGATTGAGTCAACTGGTATAAATACAGATGTAATAAGACAGCAAGAGACAGAACTTAGAATACGGAACCAAGAGAGACGGAACCTAGGCACAGAACCTACACAGGACGTTCTCTAGAGACAGAAGATCTTCGCTGGAGAGAACATGGCAAAAGTTCCTGGACAGAAACTGGCC